CTTTTTACTCATAGACCCCGGAGGGGACTTGGTAATTTGGCACTTAAAATTACTCTCTAGCAAGATGATAACACATAAACTCACAGAACAACAACAACTTTTTCTATCTATCTTTTCCCCTCTTTCTCTCACTCTTTCTTTCTTACTCTTCCTCAGTCTCTCCCTGTTTTTTTTTTTTTTCTCTATCTTTTTCCTCTCTTTCTCTAACTTTTCTATCTCTCTCTTTCATCTTTCTCTCTCATTCTCTTTTTCTCTCACTCTCTTTCTTTCTTTTTTGCTCATTATCTATTTCTCTTTCTTCTTCTCTTACTACTTCTCCTTTTCTTTATCCTTGAGTTTTCTCTCTCTATTTCTCAATTTCTCTTTCTCTCAACTTTTCTCCCATTTTCCTCTTTCTCTCTCTCTCTCTCTCTTCTCTCTCTTTTTCTCCCTCCTCCACTCTCATTCACACCCATTCTTGCCCTCCCTCTCTCTATGTGCCGCTTACATTTTCTCTCTATTCTTCTACTCTTCATTTGACACAAACATATTCTCAGTCTTTTATATCCTCTTTCTTAAGATGCCTGGAAGCCGTAAAGTACGTGTAAGAATGTCCGTTAAGCTCTCAACCAATTCTTAAGACGTCGACATGTAGTCAATTCTCTTCGTCCTCTGTCCTCGCACGCACTCCAGCTCACATTAGCTGTAAAACACAGACATCTATAATCCGTACGAACAAACTTTTGGGGCGAGTAGATACAGTTACAGTTGGCCAACAGGGAAAACAAGCATGTAGAGATAAAGGCGAGGAAAGACACACGCGAACAACAATCACGCGATAGACATTAGCAGTTTACAACGCAGAATAATATTTAATTATTCGATGCGTCTCTTATGTTTGGCCCGAAGAGGAGAGAAGGACAGAGGGACTATCTGGGAGGATGTGTGCGCGCGCGTGTGTGTGTGTGTGTTTATATGTACGGCCTACACCTCGCACGACTTTAGGGACCGTCCCAGAATTAAGTGCTTTACAATAATTGTGGAAAACAACAATAGTTACGGGTTGTGGATAAGATAGATAGATAGATAGATAGATAGATAGATAGATATGAACAGACTGAGATAGATAGATAGATAGATAGATAGATAGATAGATAGATAGATAGATAGATAGATAGATAGAGACACATTAAGTTAGATCGATACGTTAGATAGATTCTGGTATTTTTAGTTTTGTGTTGTTTGATTTTCATTGGTCAGTCATGTTTCACGTCCATTCGACACGCATAAACATTATTGACCAATGAAAATCTAGCAACACAAAACTAAAAACACCAGGGTGGATGCTAAGGTAGTGTAGAAACTGTTAGGGTGATTGCCCCACGCACTTTCGATCAATTCACATTTTGTCACATTCAATTATACATATATAAAAGAATGGCTGCAGCCTAAATATACATTATATATATATATATATATATATATATATATATTGTGTGTGTGTGTATTTAGGCAGCATTTTTTATTCATACATGTTTCATTAAATAATATAGACAAATGGTGTCTATTTTATGTAAATTCTTTTCATAACATCTGATAAGCTTAATAACATTATCATTAAACGAAGAAAGAAAATAACAATATTGATACATATTTTTTAATCCAATCTAAGGTTTCGGCTTACATAAGCCATTACCAAAGATGACAATTACTGTACAATATGTTAAGCAATACACGGACAACAATGTGATGATAGTCTGTTTCTGTTTACATGGATGATTTCCAAGCAACGATAAACACGTGCATATAAGACGCTGGAAGCGAAAATCGCACCGCAGCTCATGACGTCACACATGACTATGCGAAAGTGAATTCGAGAAGTATTAAGTATGGGAAGCCGTTGGTATAAACCAATGGCTTCTGTTACCAATTATAAACATTTAAAGATATTTGTGGAGATTATATATATATATATATATATATATATATATATATATATATATATATATTTGTGTATTTAGGTAACAAATTCTCTTTTAGGCATACCTGATGAATAAATTACAGACATTATGTCTGCTATTTTTCGTTTATACTCACGAATAACCTTCCGTGTATTGATATTGAAGGATAAGAGAAATATGCTATAGTTGTTTAAATTTCTTTTATTTTCATTTCCCAAGTACTTTCGATCTTCTTCCAAGATCATCTTCAGGGATGCAAATAACAAAAAACTCTATGTTGTTCAGGGATACAAGTATTTATAAAAAGTTATACGTTGTTATCCATTACCGTAATTTTTTTCATTATGCTTTTAAATGCAAAACGGTTGACAATGTGCTGAGCGTTCATTAGAACGTGAAAAATTTATCCATTATGGAATTTGTTTCTCTCTATGTTATAATGTCATAGTCATGCGCGCATTAAAGCATGAAAAAAACTGTTCCTTTACAGGCATTTCAGAACATTACTACAGTATTCATAGTTGATTCTGTTCAGTGCAGGCTTTAATTTTTTAATATAAATAACTTCTAGTATCTGTAATCTGAATTTGTTGTTTTCATGGTGTAGGATAGTTGTGTTGTCGATTAGAAATTTATGTTGTGAATGTGGACAGGAATGTTGTTGTAGATACATATATAATAAAAATGTTAATGGCCAGAGTTGGATTAGACCAGGAAACAGTAGTATTAATATAGAGTTCATAATATTTTTTTATTTTTTTTAAAATATAGGAAATCAATTGATTGAAATTGCCTGAAGATATCAAAAGTTTGAAACCGAGGTAGTGGAATCGGCTAATCTCCTAACTTGATATATATATATATATATATATATATATATATATATATATATATATATATATACATGGTTGGATTGATGTGAGTTTGTGACCCTGGGTTTCACGCTTTTGCGATCGTCAAAAAGCGTGAAACCCAGGGTCACAAACTCACATCAATCCAACCAAATATGTTAGCTCTATCTCTGATATTGAGCGCTTTCTAATAAGTATCGCGCATATAATATATAAATAATTATATATATATATATTTATTTATATACACACACTTTTCACACACACACACACACACACACACACATATATATATATATATATATATATATATAATTATAATTTTTTTTAAATATAATTCCTTAAAAATAATTATAATTTTTTAAAAAAATAATTGTAATTTAAGCTCTACTTCTGTATGGAGCACTGTTTTTAAAATAAAAACAAAAATACTAAAGAACTCCGGATTATTTACCTAATCTGTTCTTTCCTATTTTTCACATTTCTGCACACACATATATATATATATATATATATATATATATATATATATATATATATATCTGGGATACATGTTTGTGCTTCCATACTGCAAAAGATGACTCCGTCTGTAACAGGTGACTGAATGTTAAATTGCTTATGTCATAGATAAGGCACTTATCCTAATGAGGTTGTGTTTGTCTTTCTTTTATTTTCTATATTAACTTGCTTACGTTATCTCTGTCCTTGACTCACGGTAAATCCAAATCAGTTCGTAAAGAAATGAGGACATATTGCATCAGCCAAATAAATTATTTATACGACGAACATTTAAAAATTTGCATTTATATGCATAAATAATAAGCAGGACTGCTTGGTGGGTAGATGTTTTTTTTGGGGGGGGGGGTCTTTTAATCAGTTCACCCCAAACAAGGCGATAATGTCAGCAAGACGCAAGAGGCTACAGGAAGTGAAAGAGAATAAAAAGATTTTAAAAGGAACCGGAAACGCAATCCTAAACAGGAAACAAAGGATAAATCTCTACTCCTGTTGTTATCGGGATGTTGATATCGAGTTGATCTGCAGTTTGGATAATAAACGCTTACAAGGAAGATGTTTAACGTGGATTTCTCCGTAGGCTCGGCCAAAAATATCCGCTTTGAACCCGCATAAACGGGTTCGGGATCTGTCTACCTCCCCGTACGAAACTTTGCCCTCTGCCAAAGCAGAGAGTTCGACAGAAGTCGCACACAGTCAGAGACTGCTCAACGACTCGGTCTTTAATATCCCACCCACGAGGAATATTTGTGGCACAAGACCGAGTTTAAAGTGGGTTTCTCCGAGCCCGTAGGCTCGGCCAAAAATATACCCTTTGCACCCGCCTAGACGGGTTCAGGGCCTGTCTCTCTCCCCGGACGAAACCTTGCCCTTCGGCAAAACTTCGTCCGGGTTCCTCTCTGTCAAAGTCGCACACAGTCAGAGACTACTCAAAGACTCTACCCTAGGAAGTCTCGCAGTTAGTATTTATGAGAGGAGGAAGAGTTCATTCTACTGTAAGAGGGTTTACCACAACAATATCCTTTGATGGCAACTGGTCTAACACAGAAAGAAATGGCAACCTACTGCGGGAAAAATCTGCCTCGTCAATCATGTATCGAAAGATACATGATCCCCTAAGCGTGTACCACGCATGGCACATAACTGGCTGATGCTTAGAATCAGAATCAATTCAAATTGTGGTTCTTTCAAGTCGCAAATCCTCATGTCTCTCTAATGATTCTGTATTTATTATGATCTGATAATTACCATGATCTCTTGAAAAAGTTAATGGAACAGTTTCTCGTTGCTTTCTCCCCTGTGTTACGTATATAGTTCTCCTATATGATAGTAGGATGTACTGTACTGTATTGTACTGATGCGGCATTCACCCTGGGCGGATTGAGCCGGCTTCTTCCTGTTATAAGAAAAAGATTCTTGGGATAAATTACAGAAGTAGGGTACCCAGGCCTACTCGGATAACGTTCTTGCTTGCTGCGGGGTTCCCACAGACGCAGAGACAGGAACGACCAGAAGCCGCCGGTTACCGATGCAGACGCTCCTTGGATTTTCACCAGAGCCCTTGTTAGCCGGCGTGTGTGTCAGACCTGTCCGCCTTGGGTGGCCCTACCAGGAACGAAGTTCGGGGCGGCATAGCTCTGACACTACTGTTTACACCCCCCACCGACTGTGAGGTAAGGGTTGGACTTTGGGGGCTTACAGTACCAGGTGTTCCCAAACGGTCCCCCATCTAAGTACTGACCTGGCTCTACGATGCTTAACTTCGGTGATACGAACGAGAACCGATGTTTCAGCGTGATTTGACCGTAAACACGATAGGGATAGTAGGATGTGGGCGACTATGACTCTTTTCCGTTGCTTCAAATCTCACCTTCATCTTTGAATAGATTGCCCAGCATTTACTGCCATTCGGCACACATGAGAAGACAAGCCAAGCTTATCCCCCCATTTAACCAAGGGCTTAGAGGGGATAAGATAGATAAGCCTGGTTGCCATTCAAGGCACGAGAGCTCAGTTTACCCACCCGTTTAACTAAATTATAACAGAGGATCAAAAAATGAATCCATGTCTTTAGCAAAGTCATGGGAGTTTGAACTCGGATCGCCGATTCCACTATACGCGCTGTTAACCGTTAAGTCATACGTGTGAAAAAAAAACAGAAAAGATAACAGGATATTTTTGTCTGGATAAGTGCGTATGCGTATGAAGATATGTGCTTATGTATGTGCGTGTGTACGACAGAGGGAGAAAAAGAAGAGGATATGTTTATATGTGAATATGTACGTAAATGCTAGATAGATAGATAGATAGATACATACACACACACGCGCGCACACACACACACACACATATACGGATAGATAGATACACACACACACACACATATATATACGGATAGATAGATAGATAGATAGATAGATAGATAGATAGATAGATAGATAGATAGATAGATAGATAGACACACATGCACACGCACACACACATATATATACGGATGGATAGATATATAGATATATAGATACATACATACATACATAGATATATAGATAGAGAGAGAGAGAGAGATTGCATGTTTATTTAAAGGGAAATAAAATGTGTATGTTTATGTACGACAGAGGGAGAAAAAGAAGAGGATATGTTTATATGTGAATATGTACGTAACTGCTAGATAGATATGCACACATACACACGCATATACAGATAGATAGATAGATAGATAGATAGATAGATAGAAGCATATATATATATATATATATATATATATATATATATATATATATATATATAATATATGAAAAATATAGTCTTAAGGTGTGCTATATTTATGGGATAAAGTGCTCATTATCAGAGATAGAGCGTGTGTGAATATAAGTGAACATAGAAGTCAACAGTTAGAGGCGACAGTCTGTTTCTGGGAATTTAACTATATATATATATATATATATATATATATATAGAGAGAGAGAGAGAGAGAGAGAGATGGCATGTTTATTTAAAGGTAAATAAAATGTGTATGTTTATATAATTATACATGTCATTGTGTGTGTGTGAGAGAGAGAGAGAGAGAGCAGGAGATGGAGGAAAGAAAGAAAAAGACATTCAGTAGATGAGTTTTTTATTGCTTTTTCCGTTTAGAAAATTGTCTTGTGCTTTCGCCGCTTCAACTCTGACGCGTCTCCCAATTTTCTTGAAGGACGATCCGCATTGATGTTATCTTTCGTCATCCAACTTGACCTTCTCGACTCTCTACACCGTCCTCCCCGATCCTACCTACCCGACCCCCACAGCAGACCTTCATTTTTCATTTTGCCTGACACTGATCCGTTATTCTTAGGAATGCATCTAGTCTTTGAGAATTCTGCAATTAAGCGTTTTTCCTACTTACATTTTTTTCCTTTTTGACAATCTTTTCTTTTTTTTTCTAATGTTCACCCAATACAAGGCCCAAGCGCCACTCAAGTTAGAGGTTTACTGCGTGGAGTTGTATTAGTGTAAGATAGGGCAAGAAGTGAAGTTCTTGGGGGCTATGCAGGAAAACCACAGATAATTCTAAGCTTGAAGATGTCAAGATTTAATTAGTGAATAAAAGCATAGTTAGAAGTATAGAATCGAAGTTGATGGAACCGGAAACCCAATCCTAAACAGGAAACTAGGGATAAACCTCTACTCCTGTTCAAAATGCCCGAGGAGGTGTATGAACCAGACGATAGGCGAACCTATCCACTTTAATAGGAGGCGGAGAAAAAATAAAATATTGAAGAAATTTCAGAGTTTCTGCATGTGAGTTAGATAGAACCGGAAACCCAATCCTAAACAAGAGACAAGGGATAAACCTCTAATCCTGCTCAGAAGACAGAGAAGGAGTATGAACCAGGCGATAGGCGTATCTATCTACTCCTATTAGGGGGCGGAGAAAAAATAAAATAGTGAAGAAAATTTCAGAGTTCATGCAGGGGAGTGGGGGGTAGAAATATAGATTTGAAATAGACTTTAGAAGGATCCGGAAACCCAATCTTAAACAGGAAACAAGGGATAAACCTCTACTCCTGTTCAAAAGACCGAGGAGGAGATTTCGTCAATTTTTTTTTATCCTTGTTTGTTATAATATTGCTAGGTCGAACTATTCTTCGACTGTTAACAAAAAAAATACCAGCTTGAAATCAAGAGAGCGAATAAAGAAACTTCAAAAAACTGAACTTGAATCCCACATCTAGGAATCTTGTCTTACATGGACGATACATTAACCGATTCTGTCACAAAAGTCTCACAGTTAAGCAAGACTGGAATCTATCTGTATGTACGCCAATAAATCCTAGCTTAATAAGGATAAATACTTTATAGGCTCTACTTAAATTAAATGGTCCGCTGGATAAAATGCGTATTTAGTTAAACAAAATGCAACCGGTGCCGGTTAATCGACAGGGTCCAATTCTGCCTCATTAAAATTCTCGGCAACAGGAAGCATGTGCTATTGATCCGTGTCATACGTTTACAGTTCTCCAGAGCACAATTAGCAATCCCAGAAGACCAGGTGAGGAGGTGTGTCTAGCGTCGCTGTGTTAACAGAGACACCCTATTAGGTCTTCCGCTTCATATACAACCAAAGCTAAAAGGCACTGAAGTGAGCTGCTGATATCTCCTGTATTGAATGCAAGTGATATTTGAGCTGGTGTCGCCTTGTCTGTTGCTACAGACAATTCTATCCAGAAACCTCTGGTCATGCTCATTTCGGGTCCATGGTCAGTTACAGCACTGTCTACAGTGGACTGCAATGCTTTCCAACAAGCATCCCCAGTACACACGTGATACCCTAAATCAAAGGATGTCAAATGTCACCTCAATTTTAGAAATGGTATGACAACCACTATCATATCCCGTTTGAACTCCGATAATTCACGTCATCTTGCTATGAACAACAATGCCAGTGTTCGCAATGACTCACTAGATGTCAGAGTGTAGCTAATATAAATTAGGCATTTCGGGAATCTCGAGGTGGTGTAATGGTTAACAAGGTTGTCTTGCAAGAACAATTACGACTGAATAGTGAGTTCGATCCTCACTGGGTGCCCCAAACTTCTGGCCTTGTGCCTCATCTAAGATACGTTTGGAAAATCACTTTGGGCACCTCGATGCGGTGTAATGGTTAGCAAGCTTGTCTCGCTAGAATAATTACGACTGAGTCGTGAGTTCGATCCTCACTGGGTGCCCCATACTTTCGGCTTTGTGCTACATCTAAGCTACGCTTGGAAAATCAATTTGGGTACCTCGGGGGCGTTGTAATGGTTAACAAGCTTGTCTCGCTAGAACAATTACGACTGAATAGTGAGTTCGACCCTCACTGGGCGCCCCATACATTCGACCTTGTGACACATCTAATCTACGCTTGGAAAATCACTATAAAATAGACATTTCCATGATGCTAAGATATCGTGGCGCCATCTACCATTATCTTTCAATACTGCAACCTACGGCTTTTGGCACGTCGGTGTATATGTATTTCCAAGTTCATCAACTTGGCTTTGTGCTGAATTAGGCTAAGGATAATAACTATAAAGGCTAAGATTAGCAGATCCTCTATATTTGGAAAAATGACGCAACATAATCACCTTACCTGCTGAAGGGAATTTGTGCCAGGCTAGGTTAAGCTCATGAAATATATTTTCTCTTCGTCAAGCGGTTAACGTTTTATTTCCTTTCTAGGTGAAACTAGTTCTCGTCTCATTTTCTCACGCTTTCCCCCGACCTCAAGCAACTGGACACGACAGCAACTGCTGCTGATTCAAAATGTAGGCCAGTTCAAAGTCCGAGTTTTGTTTTCTCTGCAACAATTGACGTGCTGCAGAAGAAGAAAAAAAAAGTTTGCCCGAACTACAAAATAAGATAGGACAACTGTACATAGACGACAATAACATAGTTGACATTTTTGATGAGTCCATCGCCATGTTAGACACGTAGCCTCATAAACTCGAGGATCAGTTTTGAAATTTAACAAGCAGTGTTTACAAAATGACGCGTTCCAACTTTTAAAACACAATTAACAGAAAAACAAAATAATCTGTTTTATAAATGGAAATAAATTTTTATTAATACGTTATTTAATTGACGCAGCCAAAATAAACCGTAAAGCTTAAGAACATGTTGCGTCAAACGCTCTTTTTTTTTGCGTCATCTCGAACGCCAAAAATTCTGAACGCCACAAATTATATTAAAGTTGGTTTAAAAGAGTCGCATGCACGTGAAACATGACTGACCAATGAAAACCAAACAACACAAAAGTAAAAAAAAACAGAATCTTTTTTTTTTTTTTTTTTCCATGTCTCATTCTCTGATGAAGCTATAATAAAAGTGAAACATGTTACCTTCATAAACATCTCTTAATTGTTCTTTATCGTATCATTTTGTTAGATTCTGATTCATATTTGCAACACACACATTGTTGTTACTACATAGCACGGCACACTTTTTTTCTAACTTAAAAACTAACCCATCCCAAGATGCCAAAACGTAAGTGTAAATTTCGTGTTGAATGTTCCAACGAATGGAAATATATCAGACAAGACAGAAGCTGTTTTAAAGCAAACAGTGGTGAATATAATAGCAATTTCAGTACTGAACATGGCGGAAAGTGTGATATATTAGAAAGAGATTTTAAGAGTGTTCCGTATTTCTAATTTTTTTTTAAGCGTTTCACCCCAAGCAAGGCGGGAAGCCACTAGCACGCAAGGGGTTACAGAGAGTTGGAGCGAGAGCAAATAGGAGTGATAGAGGAAAGGATGAAGAGGATAGGGGATAGATCAAGGCATCAGGAG